TTACATTAATAGTTGACTCTAGCTAGCTAATCTCTTCACCAAATCCCTTCATTCACTACAGTTTTCGTTGTTACTATCCAAGCTTAGTCTGAGCGATGTACATCATACCCAGCCTAAGCTTGAGGGGGGAGGGGGGGGGGGAATTTCAGATATTAAAGCTCATTTTCAGAAAGTGTATGAATATGATGATCATCAGCAGGAAGAAAGCTTAGAAGATCGTGACATCGATGATCAGATTATGGACACTATACTTGAAATTACATAGCTGTAAATAATTAGCTGTAAATAGTGAATATTGTAAATATTACAGTTGTACAAAATTAGATAGATAATTACTAGATTAGCCTTCTTTATGGTTTAGATAGGTTTAGTACAAACACTCATTTTGTACAGACACATTCATTATGTCCAATCATTTTTTTTTCAATTAATAAAAACAGAATTGATTCAGAACCAAATCTAGGTTTTCCATTCCTTAACCGCCATGGCTATCTTGAGGAGTTTTCAGAGAGAGTAATTAACAGAGAAAAAAAGTACCTCTGATGATGATTTTGATTTCTTTCTTTTGAGATATTCAAGTTTCGGTAGCTTTTCAAAATACACTCCAAGATGGGAATTTTAACAAAAGGGTTGCAGTAGAGAAACTCGTCCATCTATAACATGAGGTCAAGGATTTGATGAAATAACCTTAAATCTTTTTAGCAATTTTTCCGTTCATCGAGAATTAGTTACTATTTACAAGTGTACACCTTGAAAATATGGAAACAGAGAGCGGGTTTAAAGACGAAAAATATTTTGCTTATTTCAAGAGCTTTATTTGTATTTAAAATTGTTTTTATTTGATCCAATATCTAATGAAACTTGTTCCCATATATCAAGTAAAAGGAGCTTATTTTTGTTTATCAAAAAAAAGGAGCCTATTTTTCAAGAAACACTTAAATTCTAACTGAAATTAGAGATAATCAGATCAGAAACAAGGGGCACAAAATTATAATATTGCTCTTATTGAATTTATGTGTTAGTATTTCTATTAATCAACGGGTGATTTTCTTCTTCAAAGAGTTTGAAAGTCCAACGCATGCCCCAAAGAAGACTATGTATCAAACACATTTAGCGGTGAAATGAAAGTGATTGTAGGAAATTGTAACGAGGAGATCAGAAGTTCGATATTTTTGTTCTAGAATTGAAATGTTGACAAAAGTATGATCCAGTTGGTACTTTACATTATGCATCTACTACACACATCAAGAACCTAGAAAAAATGGTAGACCTATATATAGGAGAATTTGTCCAAAATAATTTTCAAAGTTAATGTCATAATAATATTTGAATTTGAAATAAGGCAAGAGCCAGAAGGTCAAAACTGCAAGAAGGAAAACCAGCCTCCTTTTTGGACTGGCATGCTTTGCATTATCTTAGTCAACAGAAAAGAAAAATAAATAGGGGATTTCTTTTCCTTTCCTGACAGTAAGTTTCTTCGCTGAGGCTACTTTTACAATTATGACCTGATCTTGGATAAATTTTTATACTCATTCCGTTTCAAAATAATAATCCTCGTATTTTATAGTTTGAGTTCAGCAAGGAGGATTTTTAATAATTATGACGAAGGGAGCAAATTATTTGATTGAGCAATTCCAGTCAAAAGAATATACATAACCCCATGGGTCAAACGGGAATATGGATCTTTGAGATTGAAATTAAACATTGATCCAGAGAGCATCTCAACTCTCACATCACAACTAAATTCGAAACTAGAAAACAAGCATCATGAACATAAGATATTGTGATGACAACCAAAACTATGAAGAAACACACAAAGATTGCTAAAGAGAACAATATTATATCCATCTTGAGAAATTCTAAAGAGTCGACAAGTCCAAATTAAACACATCAAAGACCAATAGATGCGTATCTTATCATTTTTGTTCCAAGTTATAAGCCATACAAATTTTCTTGGATTGCAGTTTCACTCTAGCTTTTTCTTCTTCTTTTTTCTTTTTTTTTTTCGTTTTGGTGGTGTATGATTGGCAAAATGATTGATTTGGGAGGATAAGTTCTTTAGGACCTAAAGTCTTCATGAGGCCGGATTTGATGAGAGCTGAGTGAAATCCAAATAGACAACAACCAAGTAGTTACAACACCAGCGTGACATTTAACATCTCGCATCAGTCCTGATTCTGAACCAGTAACAGTTATAAGCAGCACAGAACATTGTCAACAGTTGGATCACTTATATGTTTTTCACTAATCCATAATCTTGACACCTCATGAGAGTTCTCAGGCTCTTTGCCATTCATTCATTTTCCCAATTGCCCTGCATATCAAATACAACATCACATGGACTTCCTGTAGCTGCCGGCTTTCCATTTTCTAATGATTCTGGAAGAACATACAACTTGATGCAGAGGGACTTGGCAAAAAAGTAAAATCTTCAACTACAAACTGTAAAATTCGAGGTTGTTTCTTGAGAATGGACCAACGATGAACAAATTTAGCTCTCTCTATCTCTCTCCATCATAAGCGTAGTCTTTTACCTTCCAATTTCGATTCATACGTCTTATGAGCTTCCATCTAATACCAACAATGCCATATCGCCCCTTTAGCATTCACTCCATTGAACCACTATCTTCAAAGATAACGTAGCAAACACTACCATTAACAATCCTACTTTATCTTTCAAAGACAAAAAGGAATCACATTTCTGGGAGCAATTCTCAATGACTAAAATAAGACTGACAGCATTCCTAATCCCGAAAATTGGCAACAAGTTCCTCAGTTAGGGGGGAATCATCAGATAAAACCAAACACTAATTCTTAAAGAAAAAAAATATAAAAATTTTGCCAGAATCACAATACTCACCCAGTCACAATCGGAAATCAAACAAGCTACTACGAGTCTACGACAACGAGTCAATCAAGATTAACCAAACCTTTCAACTGAAAATCCACAAAACAACAACAAATTTCAACCCAGATTTGAACAAAAACACCTAAACCACTGACCTTTAATATACAACAAACATTATATGAGTAAAAAACGGAAGAATAAACCAATGAATCAGCAGAGGATAAACAAGAAGAAGAACCTTCAGAATGGGCATCATCACAAGGTTTGAAATATATGTGTGTGTGTGTGTGTTTGTGAGAGAGAGAGAGAGACAGAGAGAAAGAGGGGTGGCGGGTGAGCAGCGGATAATCGACAGATTCAGATTGAAAACTATTTTATTAGATTAACGACCCATCACAATTCGTCAAAGAATTCCGGCGCTTTTGAGTAATCCACACCCCTGTCCGATTATCGCCGCTTCAAACCCTCCTTCCTCCTCTTTTAGATTCTCTCTCACGGCAGGCGGCGACCTTCAGGCCGTCTTTATATACTTGGGTTTTGTCCCTTCCTTTTGTTTATTTGGAGGTCAAATTACATATTACACCCTCAATGTTTGCCAAATTTACAGTGCTGTCCCGCGGTAATGTAAAAATTACTACTAGTAACTACACAATCATTTGACAACTTCTCAAGGAAATCAAAGGACACTAAACTTGTTTTCCGATGAATTCATTTTAACTCTTAAATTCAAAATTTCGTTCCCCATAGGTTCAAAACTGAAGACATCGATTGTTGAATAGTAGCTTATCCAAGATATACTGTATTTTGAAAGTGTAGAAAATAATGAGAGACTACCTTAATGAAAGAACTTTTTTCTATACGCCCGTTTTCCCCTAATTTCTTTTCCACACTAAAGAACGCAGCTTGAAGTGGCTGATACTTTACAGGCAACTACTGTTTAACAAATCCACAATTAATTGTACAAAAGAAAAAAATGGCACAATTGAAAAGTGAACAAGGGTGCAGCTTCTTTAAGTTTGGGCTCAACAAAGCAAATGATCATTCATTGATTCAAGCCGAATTATAAGATCAGATTCTTCAGTTTCGGTACAATCCGGTATTGAAGCCTTACCCATTTCGCAAACTTAAAACGCCAATCAAATCCTCCACAGAAAAGATCCGTTGAGGGGCTGTTCGAAATCTGGCTAGAAATCTTTCTGCAGTATATTACTCTACTAGACTAGAAGCTACCATCAATCCTGCATCAAAGGCACATCCGGAGAACCGAGTATTATCATATACCAAATTGAGTTAATCGAAGCTCCAAACAATGCAGCATTCCATGGACCACAGTTTTTAGCTAAATTTCAATTGTCCAAAGATCCAATCTTTGCTGTCCAAACTGGTCTAATTTTAATAACTAGATCCATACTTCAAAACCTTTGAATTCTGAAGAGAACCCAATCCAAACCCATTTTAAATCCACAACAGGTGCTGTTGATTATTGTGGGATTCAAGCCTTCATTGAAGCATTTAAGCAAACAGTATGACAGCACCATTCTATTAGCCGGCGCGAGATTCAAATACCCGGCATTATTGTCAAACACAGAGGCCCTGAAATTATAAGAAGAAACAAAAAAGGAGGTGGCCGAGAGACGAGGAAGAAACAATGACCACGAGACATGTTTTCTTACACGCCGGCGGTCATTACCTGCAAACCTCTCCGGCGAATTCACGGGGTGGGTGGGCCAACGCACGCGGGGACATCGGCGTTTCGTTTTTTCCGGGGAAAACGCCGGGGTAAACATCCCCCTACGGTAACAATCTCCGACGAGATCATGGTTTAGGGTTCTGTATTGCATGCGTGGCTCACCCCGCCACCACCTCCCGCGGAATGACATGGTCATTTTCATTGGCCCTTATAAACGGGTTCATTTCATTTCACTTCCCCGATGTGGGATTGAGCTACTTTGTTGATTTTATGGCATTTGCATTTTGGGTTATTTTTAGTTTTTACACTTAAGGGGAATGAATACAGTAATTAATTCCCCTATTAAGAAAAATAGATTTATTTTGTTATTTCCATAACAAAGCTTCTATCAGTCTACAATGAATTTAGAAATTTTTTTATGGTTAGAGTACACTTTATTCATAATCACATCGGTAAAATAGTCTCATTACCATCCTTTTCCCACCTTTTATAATTTTTCAGGGTGAAACAAAATAAGTGATTTTTTATTTTGTAATAATAGCATTTAATTCTGAAAACACGGGTCCAGACGAGATTATTACAATTTTTTGGGTTTTAATGTTAAGCATTACTACCCCTGGAACTCCAAAACTGTGTTGGCGCATCATATTGCTTTGCTTCAGTTCTAACTAGACAATCTGAATTCTGAAACAAAGCTTTCAGTTTTCAATTCTGAGCAAAACCAGCTTCTAATTTGGCAGCTCAAGATATAAAATTGGGGGCAACCATACTCAAGTTCTCTAGTTTAATGGGGAACCATCAATCATAGATTCAAGCAAGTAGAATGTCCATAGCGAAAGCATGTTGAGAAATGAGAGAAGTTTAAGAAATTGATGTAGCCATCGATCAAATCGCGGGTTTCATGGTCATTGCAAAAAGAGTTTGCCTTCCAGTAAGCTACAATATTTGAGAAATCAAAGTAACTCAATGCCAGTCTTATGATTCAAAAGTCATATCCCGAGCTAACTTTGATTTCTTCTCTTTTTCTGTGTACACCATATTTGCTATTATCATCCTTGCATCAAAATGACACAACGGACTTCAGATGGTTGGAAGGGTGCAGCTGAGATGCAGCAGTATCTGATTCTTCAGCTTCGGTAAAATCAGGTGGTGGCGTCTTACTGACTTGATTCCTGAGAATCACCACAAAACAACTATAAGACTTCACGCTTATAGAGAGAGCCAGATGGTGGGGATGTCAATTTTGGAAACTACATTGTCTATGCAAACTCGAGATGGCTTTGGTGCAACTCTAAGCCTATGCCTCAGCATTTACAACAGTGTTTTTGAAAAGAGAAATAACAAACATCAAAACGTTCAAAAGTAGAATTTCAAACTGATGCTGACTAAAATCTCATTGATCATCGGTTCCATAGAGATATGTTAGGGAAGATAGCATACCTCTGGGAGATGAAAGGCTCCTCTGATAACGCTTTTTCTAGTCTCTCCTCAAACGGAGTAGCATGCCAACTGACTTTCTGATCCTGAAAAACAGTCACTACAATTTTGTGGTAATCTGCCTTTAAGGAGAAAAAAAAATAATACACAGGAAAAAACATTGTGAACAATAAATTAAGGAAGCACAGCACACCTCTTTGTACTTGTTTGTTGAATTGGGGATTCCATTGCCATCCCACCATTTGGGCGAAACTTGAGGCTCATTATCATTCCAGTGCGCAGCAACCATCCCTAGAATAGGCCTATCCCCAGGAGTTCTTCCATATCTAAATTTTTGAAGAATAGAGGAGCCCTGGTCAACATGATTGTCCTCTGTGGAATGTGGTGCTCTTTTCAGCCATGTGGATAAGCTAGCCTCCAGCTTCGAATTTTCTCCTGATGACAAGGTGTCAATAACTTCTTGCTGGGAAGAATCATCAGTCTGCTCAGACAATTCTCCGATATGGTTGTTCTGGTGATTAGAATTAGAATCTTCACTCTTCAGCTCTTCCAACTGAGAGAAATTTTTCACAGGATTCAGGACAGAATAGACATATTGGCACCTGATCCGAGCATTATTGCCCTCACCCGTAGCATTCATATACGATGGGAACACAGTTCCAGGAGTTTGCATCTCATCAGATATTTTTAACGGTGTCGGGTAAGGTGAATACTTAGAAGCATTAGAATTGCTTGACCCAGATTGTAGTGAATCTTCACCAAACCTTTCAGAGGAGTAGTTCTTTGATGAAGCCGAAGACATATCAGAGTCAAGATCAAACCGAACCGACTTGTTCTTGCAAGTTACAGTTTGAGGAATAACCCCATTTGTAATAGATGAACCAGTCAAGCTATCACTTGGACTAGCAACAAGTTCAATGGATCTTACACTCTTCGAATCATTGCCTTTGGTAGCTCCAGAAAGGTCTTCTCCAGGTCTTTGCCCATCAGTCATGCAACTTCAAAATCACAACAGAAAACTTGTCAAGCACAGTTGCAATTTTAAGTTAGTGAAATTTAAATCAGATAAAATAATATCTGTGTATTTAAACAATGTAGTTACCCTAACAGTCTATTGGAAAGTGGAAAGGCATATTCACATTGATCTAACTAGATGGCATCTGATGAAAGTACCAGTCATTGTCATACAAGATTAAGTAAATCTGTGATTAGCAAGATAACTAACCTATGAAAAGAAACAAAAAGACACGTTATATAAAACTGACTGAAACTAGTGCTAAAAGTTTTCCTTGTAAATTTGATGCTAAAATAACCTAGACAAAAATTCAAGAGGCTCGGGACAGTACCTGTTGGGTGTATGCTCCAATGAAACCAAATCTTTCACCACTGAATCACAATCTTTGGAGGGTGTCAGAAGCTCGCCAGATGTAGTCTCAAAGCCAAGCTTATCAATGGATGTATCAGTGAGCCATGATTTAAATTCGGGATACTCATTTTGTGCCCCTGGCGTAGATGAATCTTGCCATTTCTGAGACACTTTTCGGATTTCTGCTGGTGTTTCAGTTATTGTTCCACAAGCCTTAAGAAATTTGGCCTGCAGCAAAATGTTTATCGCACCAGTAAATGATCTGCTCAAGATAGACTGGTAATGGCAATCTGTTAGAAAGGTTACTACACAGACATCTAGATAACTAACTTTCATGTATGGTTGGATACCCTTTTTTTGTGAACCTTAAATGAGAACATCTAAATTGATCAATACTGTTCACCAAAAAAAAAAAAATCATTTATACCACAACAACATACCAACTAATGCATTTTACAAGCTCCATGGTATTATTGGTTACAATTTCTCCAAAGCATGACAACTGGTATGGTTTCAAAGTTTCATACATCTCCAGATTAAGATAGTGACACATCCTTCTAAAGCATTAAATTTTTATCTGCTAGTTAAAGAAAAAATTCCTGTTTATTTTTAAGCCATACTGGCTGCTACTCCTGACGAAAATTAGATCCAGTGAAGTTGCAGCACAGATCACAATGACAACCAATCCTTTCTCCCGCATTGCATAAACATTTGACCATCAAACAGAGATATAATGGAATCTTCAGAATAAATAGTTCTCAACCACTTGGCAAATTCATGTAATATAGTGAGCATTGATAGGGCAGCAACCAAGATAAGCTTCATGCACACACTAACGGAGTAAAACTTGTGATACTATCCTCTGTTATAATTAAATCATCATTGACAATTATGTAAGTGCCACATGAAGGATTGAAAGAATATAGAGGTGGACCTCATCTTTGAGCTCCTTCAAATCAAATCCAAGTTCAGGCTTTGGTGTCCCCAAATCTTGATCTTCCTTCATCTTAGTAAGCAGCCCATCATTCTCTTTTTATACACATATATTTGTCAAAATCAGATGTTCAGCAATCAGAGCCATTAAATAAAGCAATAACATCAAAAGATGAACAATCAATTCAAACAAGAAAGTACCATCCGAGACTAGCAGCGAAGATAAAGGACTCCTTTTTCTAGTCACCGCCTGATGTCAAAATTGAAATAATAGATTAGATTTCGTTTCCATCCAGGAAGACCATTTAAGCAAAATGTCTTCCCTCTGATAAAGCTTCTTCAATTGGCAAATCAGAGCAAACCACATAGGAGCATCCGAATTGCCATTAATAACCAAAATCCTCAGCCTTAAGGCTCTGAAACTTCTTCAATTCAATTTTACCAAGGGAATCAAACATTTTCTAAACCAAAAGGAGGTAAAAAATGAGATTCTGATTTAGTGTTTGAATTTCCAAAACGCATCGACGTTGGTTAACGTACAAGATGTCAATTAAAGCTTAGAAGAAACTTTTCAACGTCAATTTCTTTTCCAAAAAACAGTTCCAAACTTCTTCAATCTTTGAAATTCCGAAACAAATCGAATTGGGAAAAAGAACCTCTATCAACGTCAATTTCTTTCAAGAAACAGTTCCCGATTACAATAAAACCGGCCAACAGTTCAGGGGGTAAAAAAAATCAAAATAAAGAATGAGATGAATTAACTCACTGAAACACCAGGATGGGACGATGCGGAGGAGTCCAAACTAGGGCTAAGATCGGAATCCTTTACGCGAAAACAGCTGAAAAGACAGCCCATAGTAGCCACCATGACTTTGGCGAAAATCCTCTTCAAACCAAGAAAACCAGCCTCCAATCTCCGACGCGGCCGTTGAAGCTGAACTGCCAAATCCTCACCGCCGTTCACCGTATCTTCCTCCTCCTCCGACTCCGATGACGGGACGCGTAGGCGCAACAAAGAATTAGAAGAGCATTTCATCTCAGTTTCATTTGCGATTTTTACACACAGTCACACAGTGAGCGAGTAAATAGAGGGACCTGCTGCTAATTGTGAGTGTGTGTGTGTGTGTGTAATAAAGTGAGGTGATTTAGAATAATTATTAGGAGTAGTAATTAGTGAATAATTTTGGATTGGGGGTTACGATTAGAAAGAAATAGGGGAAAAAGGTGGGATGCCGCTTTTCGATTTTGAAATTCGAACCAGTGACCTTGACGAGGGAAAACTACTCCTCTTTTCAATTTCATTTTCAAATGGCTTTTTTTTTCGCCCTTCTTCCTCAATTTCTGAAGTTTTCAAATTTTTCAAAAGGAATTACAAGGCCAATAATGGGGCCACATTACATACAGTATTTTCAAATTCAAAAATTATTTTTCGTATTAACTTTTTGGTGGACAAAAGATTTGTAGGCTCAAAACGATGTAAATGATGATGACTCCACATTTGTCATCTAATTTTATTTTTCCATTTAACAAAATGTAACGACATATTTATTAACAAAATCAATTACTTTCTGGTTCAATACAAAAAATATTTTACCATTATCTCCATTAATTATATTTAATATTCTATAAATTGATACTCTCTCTATTCTAAAATAAGTATCGGTTTAACAAAATAGATAAATTTCAAAATAAGTATTGTATTCTAATTTCAATGCAATTTTTGGATAAGTTTTCTAAAATTACCTTCAAAAGAAATAGTACTTCTATCAACGGTGTAGGTTGAGGATCTAATACTATGTATAAATTATGTAAAGAATTTCTTAGATATGAATGATAATTTTTCATTTAAATTTCAAATGTGTGCACAGACTTCATATTTAAAACTGACAATACAACTTGAAAAAGTGGAACAATGACTCTACAAAGTGATAAACAGAAAAATAAGAAGGTGCCTGGTTCACCTTGGGTGTGATTGTTGTAAAAAAGATAATAATCTTTACAATATTATATCTCAATTTCAAGATTTACAATTTAACATGTTAACAACTGATAATGTTTTAGAACTACTAAAACAAATACCAGATCACGATATTCGTGATAAAATAATTAAAATGATAGATGTGTCTAATAAAAAAGAAAAAGAAGTTAATAAAAATGATATTGTTTTCAATAATAATCCTTATTCAATGCAGGAAATAGAAAAAAGAATGAAGAAATTACTAAATAAAGAAGAATCATCTTCTTCAGTTATAACTATTTCGGATTTACAAATAGAAGTCAATAAAATAAAGAATGAGATAAAATATTTAAAACAAAATAACGAATTATTAGAAAAAAGGATTAAAACAATTGAGTATTCACAATTGGGTGAAACCTCTATAGTTGATCCACAAACACTTCAGAATTTAGCTGAAAATATATCTTAAGATTATAATTATGAATTCTTAAAAACAATACAAATAATTACATCTCAAAGATGGTATATAAAATTAACTCTAATGATAGATAGGCAATTTGTCTTAAACACTGTTGCAATGATTGACAGTGGTGCTGATTTGTCTTGTGTTCAAGAAGGGTTAATACCCACTCAATATTTTGAAAAAACCTCGCATGCATTAAAATCCGCATCTAATCATACATTAGACATTTCATATAAATTGCCTAATACTTTTGTTTGTCAAGATAATATTTGTCTTCCACAAACATTTTTATTAGTAAGAAATATGCCAGGAGTGCCTATTATATTAGGACTTCCATTTTTATGTATGTTATATCCACTTAAAGAAGTTAATTTTCAAGGTTTATAGGAACCTATAAAGACAAATCAATAAATTTCAGTTTGTCTCGGACCTATAACAAGGTCAATTAGGTCATTAATAGAAGCTAAAGAAAAACAATTATTTTTCATTAAAAATGAAATTATGAATTTATCAATACCGAATTATTGAGTAATACTAAATTACAAGAAAAATAAAAATATCACAATACAATTTCAAGAATCGGTATGTCTTGATCACCCAAATGCTTTTGGAATAGAAAGAAACATTTAGTTAATCTTCCTTATGAAAATAATTTTAATGAAAAGGATATTCCTACTAAGGCACGACCATGTCAAATGAATTCTGAATATACGAATTTATGTAAAGAAGAATTACATTATTTGCTTCAAAAGGGTTTAATAAAACCTTCACAATCTCCCTGGTCATGTACTGCATTTTATGTTAATAATGCAGCTGAAAAGGAACGTGGCGTCCCGAGATTAGTAATAAACTATAAGCCACTTAATAAAGTTTTAAAATGGATAAGATATCCTATACCTAATAAAAAAGATTTATTATCAAAATTATATAATGCCAATATATTTTCTAAATTTGATTTAAAATCTGGATACTGGCAAATTCAAATAAATACTGAGCATACTTATAGAACTGCTTTTAATGTGCCTATATGACAATTTGAATGGAATGTGATGCCATTCGAATTAAAAAATGCTCCTTCTGAATTTCAGAAAATCATGAATGATATATTTATTCATTATATGGATTTTATAATTGTTTACATTGATGATATCTTAGTATTCTCTGATAATATTGAACAATATTTTAAACATCTTAATATATTAAAGGATGTTATTTTACGGAATGGCTTAGTAATATCTAAACCAAAGATACTTTTGTTTCAACATAATATAAGATTTCTTGGTCATCAAATAAGTCAAGGGAAAATAACCCCTATTCAACCATCAATTGAATTTTCTTCTAAATTTCCTGATGTTTTCACTGAGAAAATTCAACTCCAGAGATTTCTAGGAAGTTTAAATTATATTTCACCATACTATAAGAATTTACAAAAAGATTTAGCAATTTTATATGATTTGCTTAAAAAATCAATTAAATTTGATTGGACAGAAAAGCATACTCAATTAGTTAAGCAAATAAAGGAAAAAGTAAAAACTTTACCGTGTTTAACATTAGCGAATCCGAATTGGAAAAAAATAATAGAAACAGATGCTAGTAACATAGGATTCGGTGGAATCTTGAAACAGATTAACTCTCATGATAATAATGAATATCTTATTAGATATCATTCTGGTAATGGACAGAACCTCAAAAGAAATATGCAACGGTTGCACAAGAATTTCTTGCTATTGTAAAATGTGTATTAAAATTCCAAGATGATTTATTTAATCAGTCGTTTGTCATTTATACTGATGCTCTTGCTGTTAAACACATGATTTATAAAGATTATAAGCATGATTCTTCAAAGCAAATATATGCTCGATGGCAGGCTCATTTAGCCCCTTTTGATTTTGAAATTTTACATAAAAAAGGTAGTGATAATTCTTTACCTGATTTTTTATCACGTGAATATTTGCAGGATGGAGTGGCCACAAATTGATTATCTTAAACCACTATCCGTAATACATATTGCTTATAATAAGATTGTTGCTGAATATAAGCATTGTAGAACGGAATATATTTTTGCAAAGCATAGATTAAATCACTTTTTACGAGTTCGTAATACGATTCTTGATTGTGCTGATGAATTTACTTCACCACAACAGATAATATCTGTTTCAAAAGAACTTGAATTTGTCTATAACATGATAGAAGACTTCTTTGAAAGATTAACGAAAGTGAAGAAAGGTTAAATTATTGTAAAGCAAAATTATCATTAATAATTCTCTAATTTTACAGGATTATGTATCCACCCGATAGAGGACGCGGCCCTAATAGAGGTCGTGGAGGAAGAACAATAAACCCTGTAATACAACATGGGAATAAAAAGCTAATAGCGGCTGATTTTTCAAAATCTCAGGAGGAATCCTCCTCATCAAATGCGAAAATGGTCCAAATAATGGATTTTATTCAGAATGATTCTGCATTATATAAGCAGATTATGGATCATATCCAAGAGCAACAAGGTGATACCTTTGCTACTAAAGTAAGTGAAACTGACCAGGATAATATCCGGTCATATGAAAAAGGATCCACAAAGGAGGTAATATTCCTTCTTGAAAACGCTGATATTCAGTGGAAAAATGACCCATGGGTAATATTCCGAAGATATCTAGCAGAAAGGGTAATGATACTGGGTGAGTCATACAAACCCAGAAATTATTATGAGAATATTCTCAAACAAACCTGTGAAATAACACATTTTCAGTCTAATCAGACTACAACTGAAGTTTATAACTTCTCAAAAATTGTTATCAAAAAGATTTTATCTTCTGAGGAATGGGGAATTTCAACCCTTTCTGAAAGAGAAGTACGTAATACTCCTACTTCTCCTCCTTTGAAATTTACTTACTGGGATTATATTCAAAGTTTTTACAAAACCTTTTATTATGAAAACCCCATAAAAAAGCATACTTGGTTCATTAAGATATGTTCCAATGTATATTCTTCTCCCATACCCAATTGGTTTATCCAGTGTGGGCATTATATGGCCCAACAACAAAAATTTTACCAGATAATTTTTCAAAATTATATTATCAATGGTTAAAATCTTCCCCTATCATTGATAAACTTCAACACAGTCATATCTGTGCTCCAGGAAAAATCACTTTGTTATACTTCTTTATTGAATTCTCGATTCCCTGGATTTATAAATGGGTTCCTGAGGTTGGATTCAATGAATTTCAAATTTCGTGTCTTTATAAGACATATTATACCAAATTTTGGGATAAATTAACAAAAATGAATCACAATACCAAAAGAATGGAAGGACAGGACTTGCTGGACGAAATTGCCCAAAAAATCAAAGAATATACTCGGGACAAAAGACACTCAAAGCAAACCCCGATGAAGAAAGTCCATTCAAACACATCACAAAACGAATTCACTTCAAAGAGGAGCAATTAATAAGGAAGAGATAATATCCGCCTATATGAAAGAAGTTAAAGCAGATCTTATGAGAAATTTAAAAATCTCGATAATGATAATATTTCGAAAAATCGATGTTTCGATGAAGAGTATTACTTCCAATGAAGAAAATTCTTTTGCAATATTGGTAGGAGAATCTCAAACCATCGAAAATGATGACGATCACGAGGAATTTATCAAAAATCATACAACAGATCCAAGAAGCAATTTCAATCGAGACAAAGGAAAAGAAAAAGTATGAAGTGACAAAAGTAGGAATCTATTTTTGAAATTTAATACAAGTGGGCCCCACAAGCAGTCAAATCTGAAGAAAAGCATGTCAAATAATGACAAGAATTAATAATTCTTTGTAAAATAGTACTTAGAAACTTTGTTTATAAATAGAATGTATTAGTTCATTTGGAGG